GCGAAAAGCCAGTGGGCGTGGTCAGCCTAGTGTGCCAAACCCTTTAGAGGATGGGCGGAGTCGGCCATGTGTGAATGCACGGTAGTTTCCAGTCAAAGTGTTTGTGGGAAACAGCAAAAGCAGAAGTTAAGAAACAAGATTTGAGAATCTACGTCCGCGCTGACAAGTGGGCGTGGCCCTCGGGGCGGAGCTCGCAGTGATGTCTGGCGTGATCTGTTTGATGAGTTGCCCGCCCTAATGAGTGCGGTTAACTTCAAAAAAAGAGGGTGAATTTGGTTTGAAAAATGACGAATTTGGTTTGAAAAAGGGCGAATTTGGTTTGCAAAAGGACGAAATTGGTTTGAAAAAGGACGAATTTGGTTTGAAAAAGGGTATTTTTAAAGTGAAAATGGTATATATAGTGTTATGTTCAGGGCTATAAAAGTATTCAGCCAAACGCTTCTTAGCTCATGACATTTTCTCACTCAGCCAATTCATTTCAAATTTTAGTATGTTATACCTACCATTGTTACCAGTAAACAGTAGTAGTTACCTCCGAACATGATGCACGGGCTGCAGTTTTTTTTTGCGTATTGGCCAACTTCAGTGTCCACAGGACCATCATACTGTTCACATTTTTCGAGTTCTGTGGAGTTCCCCACACTATTTTCAGGTGCCAAAATTGATTGCCTTCTGCTCCTTGCACTGGCTTGGAAGAAGACTGGAACCTCGGACCCCGAAAAAAGTTGCCATGAAATTGAGAGAACCGAGCATTCTGAAAGTTTCTATACGCACAGTGCCATCGTGGTCACCATACTTAGACTGCAGTTGGGGTTCGGAAGACCATTACAGCGTATTCGCGTCTGTTTGCCAGGATAAGAGCATCAACCATTGCTTGCAGGCTGATTCCGAGTCCACTTGCGTTGACTTCGCAGCCAATTTCAGTCGAATTGATGAAACAAATGTTGGTAAATGGACTATCGGAAGAACACTGAGTGTTAGGGTTAGATGGTAAGTGTGCGACCAAGAACCCGCTGTTCAGCTCAGAAAGTCAGGGTTAAGGTAGAAGTCGCACTCACCACCTTTGATGAATACCGAACTATCGGAGTAATGTTCTCTTCATCAACATAGGAGTGTTCAAATCGCGAAGCGGCTAACATACTTGCGTAACGGATCGGAAAGCGTTCGGTGCGAGTTCAACTCCCGTCAAGGGTTCGAGTTTTGCCCATGACTCAGCATTCTTGTGATAACTTTCGGAACGCGAACTGCTGCGTAAAATAGCAGTTATCATAACAATACCCGACAACATTTGATCTAAGAAATACGACCCCCTTTCCGTTAGTGGGTTGGAGGTAGCCCCACGGCTCGTTTGCTAGTGAAGGTGGCGGAGAGCGACCTCTGCTTTACCCTTTTGATTTTCCGAGCTGAATAGCGGGTTTTCGGTCCACATCTACCGCTTAACCCTAACACTTTCAGTGTTTTTCCGACAGTCCGTTTACTTATATTGGTATCATTAATGCTATTGAAATTGGCTGCGAAAGTCGACGCAAGGTGACTAGGAATCAGCATGTGTGAGGAAGTGGCTGATTTTATCCTGGCGAATAGATGTAAAAAGCTAAAATGGTAATCCAAACTCTGACTGCAGTGTTACTTTGCGTCTAGAAATTTCCGGAATACTTGGGAAGGCACATCTATATCGACTCTTTTCACCTTCATGGCCATTTTTTTTCTGTGTCTAAAAATCCGGTTTTCTTCCAAGTCACTGCAAGGAGCAGAGGACAGTTTTCGCACTTGAAACTATTGTCGTGAACCTCCACAAAACTCAAGGAATGTGAACAGTATGGTGGCCTTTTGGACACTGAAGTTAGTCATTACGCAAAAAAATTGCAGCCCGTGCATCAGTTCGGAGACAACTGCTATTGTTCACTGGTAACAATGGTAGGTATAACATACTAAAATTTGAAATGAGTTGGTTGGGTGAGAAAAAATTGTGTGCGAAAAAGCGTTTGGCCGAGCGCTTTTGAGCGCAACTGTAGATTGCATGAAACACCTGGACTGGACGAAATATTTGGCAAATCAGCAGCAAAAATGTTGAACAATACAGGGGAGAGCACACCACTTTGAGGTACTTTACTGCATGCATCGCGCCCAGTTGATAACGATTCCCCAACCTGAACTTGGAATGTTCTGTTGTCAAGGAAATCCTGAAAGCACTTTACAACCAGAGGATAGGAACCTAAATGTGAAGGAACCCAACCGGAAGCAGGGACGGAGAAGGACCGCAGCCAAGTGTTCATTCGTGAATGTAGTCAAATCCAATTTCTATGTATTAGGTTGTACGAAAAGTAATGCGGCACTTCGACCAAATTTTTCGGGCTAAATTTTCTGTCACTAAAAGACATCTCCAACACACAAGGTAACCGCAGTTGGTGACTAGGACTAGTGCCCTTCTGCTTTCCATTCTCATAGAATACTGCAACTATGATAAAAAGAGAGGTGGACCTCATTCTCGAGTTGAGGTCGATTTTCGGAATTTTTAAAGGATGCGATAGGGACCAAAGGAAGTGGTAATCAGAGGCTGCTAACTTTGTTAAATAACCTGGGTACGGTCGCATTCTCTGATGCGATTAAGCTGGACTGTGATCCTTACAACGGTGCTAGTATCCACTGATACCACTTTGAAGTCCCACCAGTAACGCACTGAAATCCTTACTCCATGCAAGTCTGTTTTTGGCTAAGCAATCTACTAATCTGTTTGAGAGATCGTGCGAGGGGCATGTGCATGATGTACACAAGGACTCCAACACTCGCTACCAACAACAAGACCTCACAGAAGTTCTTTCGCTGTGTACAAGGAAAAGAAAAGTCAGTCACGGTCATTCGGTATGACCTGCCAGACGAGTCCAACTCATGAGGCTTACAAGAATTTTTTCCGATAACCGATATTGCGGAGAAGCGTGGCAGTTGTCAGTCACGTGGAGCCTAGGGAGGTTGCGAACTTACTGGTGGTTACCTTCGGATGCGCCTCAAGAAGCCTGAGTAAAGGGCCGTCATTCTGTGCTGGTGGGCGACCTATACATTGTCTAACTACGAGTTAAATAAGTTCAGCCTGGAAGCGCCGATGCAAAAGCCACCCCCTGCCATGGCAAGAGATATCCTTCCTCAAGACAACGTAAGTGTCAGCTCCTCGACCGCGGCGAAGTGGCCCTACAGGAACTCATAATATGGGGCAGGTCGAAAAGTACCTCGATCTCTGAGGGACTTTTAGGATTTGAAAACTTCCAAAAAGTCATGATATACCCATGTGCAGAAACCCCAGAGCACAATCTTCACTAATCAGGGATAGAAACATCCAAAATAATTTTTGGTCTTTTTCTAGAACAGTTCAATCAAAGTGTCCATTACTTTTCGAACAAGCTAATATGTATTAGCAGTCAATGAAAATCGATGCCGACACGGCCAGGAAACAATCCAGAAAAGCGGCACTGGCTAGAAGATACCAAAAGAAATGAACGAATCACACCTGAATCGGTGGCTTCCAGGCAGAGTATTGCAGTTTAACCCCTCCCCACAATACGTCTTTTAGAACAGAACAAGAGCAGAACAGTCGTTGATGCCAATACCAGAGCCACTGGCGAGTGCAGCTAACAAGGGAATGGTTTCAGCATCCCACGGAACTTTAAATGGAGACCTAGGTACGATAGAGTCTCGGCTGCTGATCACGAATATGTATATTAAAAGTGCTACGGGGACCTCTCAGACGAGTTCTTGGCGGTTGATGTTTGCGAAAACTCAGTTTTGGCTCGTAAGCGCTACTGATCGATCGCGAGGCAGTGCCACCGTGGCCTGGTGGTATCGGTCTCGCTTCAAAGGCAAATGCTTGTGTGTTTGCATTCCGTTAGCACGGAAGTTTTTTCTTCTCCTGTAAGAGGTTTTAATCTAATTTTCGAAATTCTCCCGAGTTGACGACCCAGCAGAGCAAGTAGATCAAGTATATGACGTACTCGATCGAGTATGGATTTAGTCACTGTCTGCCCTCTCTGAACTCATTACTTATCAAATAATTTGAAGTTTCGGCCAGAAAGTGGTTCCTGCTGGTATTTTGACCTCTGAACACGAATATCACATTCTTGACGAGAAAACGCTTGCTTTCACGTTGTTGTGGTCATCAACTGAACGAGGGAACCGATCATTTCTGCGTCAAATGGATGTGATATCCGTGCTCAGGGGGTCGAAATACCCCCAGAAACGAGTTTTTGGACAAATTGTGATTCTGGCCGAAACTTCGTATTGTCGGATGGGTAATGAGTTCAGAGAGGGCAGACAGTGACCAAATCCATACTCGAGTAGATCGAGTACATCATAGTCTCGATCTACTTGATCGATTTGCTCTGCTCGCAAGAATTCGAAAATTAGAGTAAAAGCTCTTACAGGAGAAGAAGCAAAAACTTGCGCCAACGGGATGCAAACCCACAAGCATTTGCCTTTGAAGCGAGACCGTTACCCATAGGCCACGGTGGCACTGCTTGGTGATCGATCTGCAGCGCGTACGAGTCAAAACAGAGTTTTCGCAATTTTTGATTGCAGAACTCGTCTGGAAGGTTCCCGTAGCACTTTGATCTACATATTCCTACTCAGCATTCGAGACTATCGATGTACCTAGGTCTCTAATCAAAGTTCCATGGGAAGTTGAAACCATTCCCGTGTAAGAGAAATTCCAACGCCAGCAAACAGGCCGAATAACAATAATTTCTAGATGGTCGTCAACTAAAGTAAAGAGTGAAGTCGTGAGAAGCAAGTTGCTCGCCAGCAGGATAACAAACTTCAGGGTCAACCATCCTTCTTATGTTCTTACTGCTTTTCCAGTGGTGGTTTCGTGCGTTTAATTTTGGCTTCCTTTCCAGGAAAATAGTATCATCCTCTCTCTTAGCGTCCGCCTCAAGTCGAGTTACAATGAATGGAAAAGTTATTTGAAGCATGAGAATGAGTGACTTTTCGCGTTTTAGATCTTCTATTCTGAGATGGACGGACTGGAAGGTATCGACCGAATGGGCAGAGTCAAACTCAGCGATTTTTTCGATGAGGATGTGTAGGTTTCACATTGCTCAGTAAACCCTGGATCAACTTTCGCAAGTCCCTTGAGCTGATTCGAAGGCACGGTGTAGACCGCAAGATGAGAGCATTGGCGTTTGAATAGATCCCGAGGTGATAATCAAACGTTTAAGGAAGGAACTGCAGAGAACAACGACCGAAAACGCCAAAAATAAGGATCTATTTGCCCCGGTCCTGTTCAGTTTCGGTATTCGAACGTTTTTCGAATTGCCGACTTTGTACCTGCAGCTGTTTATATGTAGATGTGCACAACTTCGAATTATCTACCATATATAATCGGCTATGTCAAGTGTGTGTGTGTGTGTGTGTGTGTGTGTGTGTGTGTGTGTGTGTGGGTGTGTGTGTGTGTGGTGTGGTGTGTGTGTGTGTGTGTGTGTGTGTGTGGTGTGTGTTGTTGTGTGTGGTGTGTGTGTGTGTGGTGTGTGTGTGTGTGTGTGGTGTGTGTGTGTGTGTGTGTGTGGTGTGGTGTGTGTGTGTGTGTGTGTGTGTGTGTGGTGTGTGCTGTGTGGTGTGTTGTGTGTGTGTGTGTGTGTGTGTGTGTGTTGTGTGTGCTGTTGTGTGTGTTGTGTGTGTTGTGTGTGTGTGTGTGTGTGTGTGTGTGTGTGTGTGTGTGTGTGTGTGTGTGTGTGTGTGTGTGTGTGTGTGTGTGTGTGTGTGTGTGTGTGTGTGTGTGTGTGTGTGTGTGTGGTGTGTGTGTGTGGTGTGTGTGTGTAGTGTGTGTGTGTGTGTGTGTGTGTGTGTAGTTTGCTGTGTGTGTGTGTGTGTGTGTGGTATCGTTCACGTAAATTCATAGCGCCTAAAGAAGAACTTGGAATGATTGGGTCATGGTGGGGATGGGTAGGGCATCGAACAATATGTAAATGGCACCCGTCACCCGTGGCAACACTCACTGAAAATAATTCGGAAAAAAATTCGCAACAGGGTTCTAGAGCACACCAGACACCGGGGAAACCGGATTAGGTCGCAGGGGTCATCGGTTAGGAAGCGCGGGGCATACGTTCTGGGCGGACCGTGCCCACGCTACGATGAGACTTGTGCATAGTGCTTCTGCCATACGATTAGGTTCAATGAATTCGTAACGATGCCGAAGATATCGCTCACCCATCGAACAACTGCAGCGCTAAGGTTTTGAGCCCTCTGTTCTCTCACCTTCTCGCTTGACTGTCATGTATTTTCGTGTTACGAGAGCGGCATGCTACAATTAGCTGTGAAGTGTGTACTTCATGCGAAAAAATAAGCTCAGATTGAGGTCGTCTCTCACTGTGCCTTGGGTCCTCGTAATTACTCTTGTCGTTCATAACTTTGCGAGTTGTGATCAAAGGTAGGCTATCAACAAGATTATCCTTTTATTAGCTTAATTTACTGTTTTTGATTAAAGGTAGACTATCAACAAGATTATCCTTTTATTAGCTTAATTTACTATTTTCTTCCTCTTAGACAACAGGACAAGTCTGTTGATTCTCTGAGACTGTCGGCTTTGGATGAACAGTGCTGGATAGATCTCGAACCTTTCATTCATCCTCATCCGCATCGTGTTCCCCTCAATGCTTCTCTACCATTCATCTTCCAACTATTCCGCGGACTTGGATTGCGGTATCTCACCGTGGTCAACGATGATAATAAAGTAAGTCAATGCCTGAAGACAGTTACGAGCGACTTACTTTGAACTTTTCAGCTTCGTGGCATCATCACACGGAAGGATGTCGCTCGATTCAGAGAGCGTCGCTCGAATAGAAAATACCAAGTGCAAGAGCTGTACATCGCCGAAGACAGAACGACCTAAAACTACAGCGAGAGCTTTGTTTATACTGTACGCTTGCTTGGTAACAGGATTCTTTTCTGTATACCGAGTGGGCGAGTCCGCAGCCAAATTTACTACATTGCCATCCAGAAGTGCCAGTGAGCTAGCACGCTTGTGGCAGCTTGATATCACTTATTTCTACGCCCACCACTCGATTTGTAGCATCACTTCCACAGAGCTTCTCTTTTTTTCTGTCAGCTTCTCCCCAAAGCTATGAGTACGACGCGCGGGTGTATGTCGTCTGACGCGATCACTTTGTTTCTGATGTCTTGAAACATGTTAGGCGAACGGTCTTCCTTCGAGAGCGATTCATTCATGATCTTACCCTAGTGCATACGACCCCGTCCTCCCCCAGGGACCAAATACGACCCCCCACATGTTTGGGACAACGATGTGCCCTGGTTCTTTCCGGTCAAACACCATACACAATCATACCATTTTCACTTTAAATTCACAACTTTTCAAACCAACTCACCACACTTTTTAGACCGGGCAGTTCACCAACCAGATCACGCCAGACACTAGTGTGACCTCCGCCAAGACGCTCACGTCTACTTGTCAGCGCGGACATAGATTTTCAACACATGGCCGACTCCGCCCATTCTTCGAAAAGCTCGTTGCGAACTTCGAAATTTCATTTTTTCAACTATTTAATTTCACATCCACTCTTTGCACAACGAAGATACTCGAACCCGCGCATTTATGCAGTGGAAATTCAGGCTCCGCCCCCTTGGCCATGCCCGCTTGATTTTTACGGAATTTTGATGTTTTTACAAAATTTTTGCATTTTTGGGCCGAAGCCCCGCCCACCGTGAGAGGCTCCGCCCACTTTTCAAAAATGGTGCAAATCGGCGGTGTAGAGTCTTGGCTTGCATGCTAGGGTCTCGTTCGCCTGATTTAGTTGTTCCGAGTGACGGACGAGAACTTAGCATGCTAGCCGGGACTCTAACTACCGATTTGCGCCATTTTTGAAAAGTGGGCGTAGCTCATTTGGAGTGGGCGGAGATAAGAATCACACTCAGCGGGATGTTTTCAATTGTACCCATTTTTCAGGCTCGTGTTTTTAGCGCATATCAAAGAGCGTGAGAGCGTGCAGAGAAATCAAGAACATTAAGCTGTCACAAGCATCTGCTCGCATTGTCGCGTATGTTTCTACTGGCGTCTTGATAATTGTGGTACTATGATTGTGATACTGCGCATCTATTAGGTCGCCCGGAAAGTTCTGCCCGTTTTGTGTCACTATTTTTTGAACATTCATTGCTGATAAAAAACTCACTCTCCCTTGCGTCTCAGTAGTACATCCTGAAGGGAATTCTTTGCGCTATCTGATGGTATAACTGCCGTTTCACCGTTGCTTGATGCACCCCCTTTTTCAAGATTTTTTCAAGCATGTGAAAAGCGCACTTCGGACGATTTTTTTCTTCGATTATAAATTGGGGCAATCCGCAATCGAAACAGCTCAACAAATTAACCAGGTGTGGGGGCCCAATAGTAGAGAAAGCACTGTGCGGCAATGGTTCAACAAATTCCGTTCTGGAGATTTCAGCCTTGAAGATGAACCTCATAGCGGTTGACCTAAAGCAATATCTGACGAGGATTTTAAGGGGATTTCGGAGGCTGGCCCATCCCAAACAGTTCGAGAGATTGGAGAAAAGCTAGCTTTGGCAAATCCAGTGTTGCAGATGGTCTGAAACGCATTGGGAAAGTGAAGAAACTCGATAAGTGGGTGCTCTACATTTTGAGTGACCGGCAGAAATTGGCACGTCTCGCGGTTTCCTCTTCACTGCTTTTGCGCAACAGACACGACCCGTTTTTGAACCGAATTGTCACCTGTGATGAAAAATGGATCATGTATGATAAGAGGGGACCTTCCGGACAGTGGTTGGATTCCGACGAACCACCGAGGTAATTTTCAAAGCCAAACCCTCACGAAAAAAAAGATCCTGGTCACGGTTTGGTGGTCATCGGCTGGTGTGATCCACTATAACTTTTTATCACCAGGCCAAACCATCACAGCAGAACCTTACTGTGAAGGAATCGACGAAATTGCCGAAAATTTTGTCAGCTGCAGTCCACATTTATCAAAAGATAGGGTCCGATTCTTTTGCATGACAACGCCGGCCCACACGTTTCACAAATCACTATGCATAAATTGAACGACTTGGGGGTTGAAGTTCTACCTCATCCGCCATATTCTTCAGACCTTTCGTCAATCGACTATCACCTTTTCAAACATTTTCAGAACTCCCTTGCTGGAAAATACTTCATCAATCAGGAACAGGCAAAAAAGCCTTCGTGGATTTCGTGAACTCTCGACCACCCATTTTTTCTTTTATGGGATTTCTCGACTGCTGTCACATTGGCAAAAGTGTGCTGATTCGAATGGTGCTTTAATTTAGATTAAATCCGATGAGTGTTAAGAAAGTTATGATCGTTTTAAGTTAAATACTCGAAACGTGCAGAACTTCCCGGACAACCTAATAACTCACTGAGACCATTTACCTCACTGCTAATGGTGTGATGCGCCATAATTTGTTTGTCCTTTTCAAATTGTGTTAGACGTTATCATGCTTTATTTAGTGTGGTATGCTTATTTCCCAGGCCCTGACTTATCACCGCAACTCCTCCACACTTGCCTTGATTAGATTGGACTGGCGTGCTCGTTCCCCTCGTCAAACACCTTATATTTCAGTACATTGCGTTGCAAAGAGGCAGTGAGACCTATGAATTCCGAAAACTCAGCTTCCGATGCACTTTTGAAAACGCGACCAAGGCGTAAAAAGATATTACGTGCCAGTGCGCGTAACATATGGTTCGTTGTTATAACTCCCTGTATGTGTGAACTTTTATATGTGGTTGGACGAGGAAAAACTGCTAGAATCTGTTTTGAAATAGCGTTGTAAAGTGCGGAGAGTCCTTAAGCCCATCACGCTCTCGAAATACATCGTTCGCAGAATGGTTCTTTGCATTTTGATTAAAGGGCTATTTTATGTCCTGACCGAGATACCGACATTACTTTCATGGTGAGCGTAATCTAAAGGGGCCAGTTTAGCGTCTCGACCTTTTCACCGTCGATACAAGTTTACATTCTGGGACTATCAATGATTCTGCTGCATGTGTGACGTGCATATCCAGCAGCGGCGCCATCTAAATACGCACGTCAAACTTGGTGCGTGAGTTTTTTTACTAAAATGTTTACGACCACGGCCATTTGTTGTCCGAATTGCATATATAGGAGTATTTTTCCACAACGATTGAGTCTAGGTGAAGTTGTGTTCGTTCATGACGGAACAAAATCAATAAAAATTATGTTGTGGGTGAGTGCGCGCAGCGGTGAGAATCATCAACGTAGAGCTGATAAATTTACATCAATTTAGTTGAAAAGGCTGTGACGTCGAAAAGCGCCAGGTCGATATCCATAATTCAAATTTGGCGTCAATATCATCTTCGTGATCACGATTCCTGAACACGAGCTATGCAAAGCGGACACTAGTCCCGGCTAGTTGTCATCACACCACTTCCGCGCTACCGTATCCCACGCCTAGTAATAATCATTTTCTAGAGTCCCCATCGGCAATCATTCTCTTATTAGTCGTTTTCAATTGTTTCTTTTTGTTTTGCTGTGGTACTGCGTTTCCCACTCTTGTTGTTGAGTTTACTTCCATTTTTCGTCGAATATGTAGCTGTACATAAATATGTAACCACATGTTGACATTTGACTCGCCGCTAAATCTACAACAGGAAAAATTCGGGGACAGTTTTCAGCGGCCTTGGAGCAGGCTTTTTGAACTGGAGCGCGCTATCCCTTCAACAGAAAATTTGGTAGTCACTTCCTCCTTGTCATATATTGCGATGGAAGCTATAAACTATGCAGAGGGGAATTTGTGAGATAACTCTCCGTTGTAGCGCCATTTGTTTGGAACGGCCGACTTCTACAGCGAAGGTTACGATGCAACAGGTCAGAACTATGAAACAGTGATTTTCTTTTAGAAGTGGTCATTCCACAAATCTCAATAACTGCTCTGAATGAATCATACCATTTCCAGCAGTTCTAAATCTTAGAAATGCCTGAGCTGGAAATGTATCACATCCCGAGCAAACTCTTTACCATAAGGACCATGTCTCTTAGGATCTTTGCAAACATGCCACTTAATCATATTGATGGAGACAAAGAGAAGCGGTGCTAGAGACTCGAAATTCTACTTCTTTTTTGGAACGGCAGTGACTCACTGTTACAAACAAACTGCCGTTTGGTATGATGCGAAGACTGATGACTTTGCTCTACCCATATTTCTTTTTTCCCGACAAATGGAGGGTAACCCAATCGTATTTACGATGGCTTGATATATTTCTTTCACGTGCGAAGTTCCTTCGTGTGGGCCATATATGTACGTCAAGAGCTACAAGCAGAAGGCAGAAGATTCCGGCTAATCAGAAGTTCAGCAAATCAGCTTCACCAAAGAATGCCTTAAATTTTTTAGTGAGGGGGCTCGCTCTCAGCTTCTCTAAGCAAATCAGCGGAGGTGCACCTATCATTTGGCACGAGGCCATGTTCATAGCTTACAATACTGAAGAATCCGTGAATAGCGAAGCTGATAGAACCGACAATTAACTCAGATACGCGAAAAGGGGAGCATAAACATCTACTCCATGTGGTATGGGACTATCCAAAAGTATGAAACACTGCGTAGACGAGAATAAGTTGATGAGTGTTAGAAGCCTCACGGTGACCCAAATGTTTGATCTCGCATGAGTGAGTAGCTGTTATTTTTACTGGGCGAAGTAGTTCTATTTGCCTGGTGGATCCAAAATACGCGGCGGCAGGCTGACCCTTGGTGGAGTCCTAACCGTTGCCCCGCGCCAGTCGAGCCATCTCGATCGATGCCTACCGAAAATATAGAATTTTGCGGGAAGCTAGAGTTGTTCCTAGGACACATCACTGAGTATTGTAACGCTTATATAGGGTTGTGAGACACCGCTCG